CACACACACACACACACACACACACACACACACACACACACACACACACACACACACACACAAAGAAAGTCTGCGGACAGTGTTACCTAGGCAGGTTTTGCCGTCGTCCGTCAGTCGGTATCCGGTGTGACAGGTGCACTGGACCAGTCCTCGAACCATCTGACACTTCTGGGAGCAGCCTCCGTTATTCTGGTTACAGTTGTCCTCGCTTGAGCGTGGCCCTACGCGCACAGCGGAACCATTACAGCAACATCAACACAGCTTGCTGATTCAGTATATATGACACACAAGCTGTAAAAGCATCTGGCAAATCTGGAACCTTGAGAAATCTGAAGGGCTGACTATGTTGAAGTCTGTTCATGTTTGTAAACTATACTCTATGAAATCAATTTGAACATTACTTGGGAGGATTTGTATTTTCGCTGCACTTCTACTATTTAGATTAACATTTCACCTTGTTCAAACCCAGTAAATTAAATGGTAACTGAAATTTCTATTTAAAAACCTAAACAATTTGACCTAAAAACCTGATAGTGTGTGTGAATACTTACGGCAGTCGTGATGTGGGTGCTCATCAGTCCCATCACCACAGTCGTTAATCTCGTTACACACCTTCCTCTGACCAATACAACGTCCATTCCCACACTGGAACTGGTCAGGAGCACAAGGAGGACTCTCTGTGGAGGAGACGTGACAACACAGGTAGGAGACAACACAAGTCAGCCAAATGACACAAGTTTTCTATAGTTTAATGACAGTCGCATCGAGTTACGTTAAATCTGCGTAGCCCAGAGTATTATTTATTTTCTATAATACTCATTGGTATTCATTAGTGCATGCAGAGTGTTTGAAAAATGATCACATTTTAAAACAGAAGCTAAACATGTAAACGTACAAATAAGCTAAAAGAAAAGAAAAAGGTACAGTATATTTGCAGCTAAAGTTAATYAGTATTTAATATAGTAAACTCCAGTACACAAAAACAAAGTACATATTTTATCACATTTTCTCTGCTGTTGCCAAAATTTTTCTTTCACTCAAAAAATAAGGAGAGGAGAAAAAAAAGAAAATGAAAACTGATTTTCTCAGTCGAGGATGGCCGTGCTGGGTAGTCATGACTACAACAAAAAGCTTGTGTTATATTTAGCCGCTGAAAACACAACTTCTAGCCTCACCAGTTTTCTCACATCCCTCTTCATCGCTGCGATCCGAGCAGTCGTCTTCACCATCGCATCTCCATGACAACCGGACACACCGGCCAGTTCCACAGCGGAACTGGTCGGCCATGCACATGGATGTGGCTGCAGGACACAAACACGAGTCACGTCAGGGATATGAGATTTTGTTCCTGCTTCACTTTTTCTGTTGGTTTTTTTTTTTTTTTTTAATGTGCTCGTCTGCAGAACATTGCAAAAAAAAGGTTGTGTTTCTGCACCGGCAGCTACTCACTGCAGTTTTTCTCGTCCGACTGGTCGTCACAGTCATGTTCGCCGTCGCACCTCCAGCCAGAGTTGATGCACATGCCACTGCTGCACATGAACTCTACTGACCTGCAGGGTTGGTGGGAAGCTGCAGATATATACACAACGTTCATCAGTGACTTTATTGCAGGGGGCCCGAACTTTGACACAGAATCACATCTCTGGTCCAAACTTCAAACAGCCTTTATTTTTATTAAATATTTATTCTGTGAGACCAACCGCACAAACGGTTCACAGCCTGTGATGTGTTGTTTGGGTATAYCCAATTGACACAATTTTAACTTTTTTTCTGCACTGTAAATAGGCAATAAATTAATACATTTTATGATAAATTAAAATGAGTTCATTACAAAAAATGTTGATCATTTTCATTTGCCTACTTCTTTTCTTCATGACTCCCTATTTTTCTGCTCCTAAACATAAGGAGAGAACTCTTGCATTAGGTAGCATGTAGCATGTKTCTTTGGTTTTCCGACGTCTTCTTTCATTTTGGGTTTGCGAAGGTTTTCTTTTACTTTTACACCACATAAACTACCATAAMCTTCATCAGCAACGTGAGGGTGACCACAGTTATTTTATGAAGCCAGAGGGAGAGACATACAGAATACAGCTTGGATAGAGATAAGATTTTGTCTACTTCTGCTGCCTTTCATTTATTTATGATTTGTATTTTAATTATATTGAATTTATGTTGTTTTTAATGAAATTAATGAATAAACATTATTATTATTATTTGGTGACTTAATTATGAATTGAGCTCGACATGCTCTTG